CCCCTGGGTTAAAGAGGCTGACGTGGTTGAAGCAGCCTTGGTTCCATCGGCAGGTTTAGCAGCGACAGACGATGCTGGAGAAGGTGTGGAAGCCAGAGGGGGATGGGAGGAGCTGGCTGGGGATGTTTCAACATTTGGCAGGGAAGCATCTAGAGTGCGCTTCTCATTTTTACCTGCAGAGGGCAGTGCTTCCCCTCTAGATGCCTGAGAGCAGGCGCAGAGGAGCCTTCGGTCACGCAGATCTCTTTGATTCTATCGGATCGGTATAGTGTTAGCACCTCCAGGCTAACAGCATTGTCAGGTACTGCTGGATGCAGCAAAGACCTCGTCAGAATGATGGCGCAGCAGTTACATATCGAGTCAGAGATCATCCATTTCGTTTTCCAACGAGCGGATGTTGGAGAGCAGGACAGATGGAAGCGGTGGTTAGTTGGGTTTTCTCTTAAGCACCCTGCGCTTTTTAAACGGTCAAAAAGTATTTAAAACCTTTTGTGACCGTAGCTCCAGCAGGTGTTTGCGATCATAGATGCGGTTTGATGTCTAGTTTGTATCGTTTTAAGCGGCATAATTGGGAAATTGTCGAGGGGAGCCGTTTTTGGCCGCTACCTTGGTAACCAAATCAAGAATAATAAATAATGATAAATAGATGAAATTATAATTTAAAACTTTGAACCTGTGTAGTAAAATATTCTTATTTCACTGATTAATTTTTATACAAATTTAGACTTAAAATAATAGTATTGTATAATGCAGCCTTTAAAATCTATATTAGACCTGTTTTAAAGTTTACACGTGCTAGAACTATTTGATGTCAATGACATCATCACTACTCTTGCATTTCATTGGGTAAGGTGGCAGTGGGAGTTGTAGGATCAGAGGTCTGGGAGTTCTAGTGTGCGACCGAAGAAACCTCTTTAACATCTGCTGATTGAGACACCAACATCTGGAAGAAAGGAAGAAGATGCTAATTTTCTGAGCTACTGTAAATATTTCTCCTCTGTGTTCAGAGAACGTCATATGAGTGGTACATCCCTAAAGGCATCCTGAAGACCGGCTGGATGAATAAACACCTAAACCTGGTCCCGGCTCTGGTGGTTCTGTTCTACGAGCTGGACTGGGACGACCCACAGTGGAAAGAGAAACAGTCAGAATGTGCAACTAGAGTAGAGATCGTCAGGTGAGAACTGTAGTTAGCTCTGCTGTGTTAGCATACAATAGTTGTGCTGTGTTAGCATACAGTAGTTAGCTCTGCTTTGTTAGCATGCAGTAGTTAGCTCTGCTGTGTTACTTTACCATAGTTAGCTCTGCTGTGTTAGCATACAGTAGTTAGCTCTGCTTTGTTAGCATGCAGTAGTTAGCTCTGCTGTATTACTTTACCATAGTTAGCTCCACTGTGTTAGCATACAGTAGTTAGCTCTGCTGTATTACTTTACCATAGTTAGCTCTGCTGTGTTAGCATACAGTAGTTAGCTCTGCTTTGCTAGCATGCAGTAGTTAGCTCTGCTGTGTTACTTTACCATAGTTAGTTCTGCTGTGTTACTTTACCATAGTTAGTTCTGCTGTGTTA